TCTTGATGCGGCTGTCCGCAAGAATTTTATCTGGAGCTACTAAGGGCACAGATACCAAAAGATTTGTAATCTATTACACGTCAAGCGGAGCATCACCGTTTTTGTTCCTTTACGGATTTTTCTATTTAGGTTCCTGCGTTACTCAGAAATCTGCTCTGTTGGCTCTCTCCTTCTTGCTATATTTGGAGTGCATACATTAGCACGTGTCACATCGGTCAGTTATGCCTTAATATACAAGATAAATGGCCAAAGAATAATTGAAGATCTCGGCCCATCTTAGTTCTAACTACTTTGCACTTTCTGTTAGGTCTATATCTTATAGGTAGAGTTGATTGTAAATTGTATTTTTCAGAATAAACTCTCAGACTATTGTTTCATGACGATATTTCGATTTGTGGATGTTTCGTTGCTATTCTTCTCTGCTCAGCAACCTATTATCTTTCAAAATATTCTTCTTCGTTTTGATCTTATCAAATGTGGACCTCTGCTTACCGCTCAGGAAAACGCCTTCTGTAAGTTTCACAAAGATTTTTAAAGCCAAAGCCAGAACTTGATGAAATAAGTCCATGATTTAGTTGTGTGCAACTTCGTCACCATTTGCGAGATGTTCGTCCTCTGTCTACTGGCTACCCTTCTACTTGCCCCACGTCGCAATGCGATGTTTGACACCTACCGCTTGCTGGAGACGCCGTCATCCTTGCGTGGTACGGATGAAGCTGATCTAACAGACCATGAAGCCATCGATTTTGAAGCAAATCATATCTAAGCATTACTTCTTGCTCTTATTCTTTCACTCAGGTTTTCAGCATCCAACACGTAATGGGTAGGGGGACTGCTTTATTAGCAGGGGTTAGTTTGGTAAATGGTCCTCGCGTCTGCCTTATTATATAACGAGAGGCTCATTTGATCAAACCAAAACCCTCTTTCTGCAAATGTTAACCTCTACCTTCTGCAAATGTTAACCTCTACCGTAGAGAATTGTACTTGTAATATATCTCGGGTCAGCGAAGTTTCTGTTGCCTTGTGCAATTTTTCT